TATGCAATGTTTGTTGCAACATTTAACTTTCTTATGCAATATTTGGTATTCTATTTTTGTTCTATTGTATCCACAACTTTTTGAAAACTTTTCATACATGCTGCAAGTTCACTAGCGTTACTTAAAAGATTTTTTGACACTTTGGTGTTTGATTTATTACATTTGGTTGATGGAATTTTTAAATGGTTGTGGTAGTATGTTTCAGATATTAATACTTATAAGTCTAGTGTTTTATCCATTATAAGTATTTTTTTTTTTTTTTTTTGCATTTTGTATCTAGCTTGATTGTTTTTTATTATATTAATGAAAGTTTTATGTTTGCAGTTGTGACTTGTTTAAACAATGTTGTGGTTTTAAAGATTAGGAGGTTATTATCTGTCCTATATAAACTTTTTTTTTTGTCAATGTAAGAACAAAAAAATCTTTTAAAATGAGAAAAATTTGAGAAAACAATTATTTGATTAAAAATAGTAAATATTTTAAAGTTCATATTAAAAAAAAACATAAATTTCTTATAAAATTTTCTTTGTGAAAACTTTATAAGAAACTTAAACATTTGTTTTTAAAGGTTCATTTTTTTAAGATGGAAAAAACTTTTTCAATCTCAAAAACTTACCAGTTAGTTACCAGTCTCTTCGTTTTTTCTTTTTTGCTCATTTTATTATTATTTAGTATTAATAGATGATTTGTCAAATTATTATTTTTTAATTTTGAAAATTTACTATAAATCTTATTTTTTCATAAAATAAATTTCTTTTCAAAATGAAATTTTTTTAAATAAAAAAAAATCTGAATAGGAGAATTAATATTTACATTTTTCTTTTTTTTTTTTTTTTGATTAAAAAAATAAAATTTAGAATGTTTTATTTTTAAGATTGGAATGTTATTCGATACTATTTTGGAGAAAAGTAACATTATTTTGGAGTGGACAGTAGTCTTGTTTCAGCTTCTTGTTTCTGACATTGTTCCAAAACAAGAAGAAGCAGGTTCCATGTTTATTAATATTACAGACATGGTGGTTTTATTATTGCAATCACAACAGTTGTTTGAAAATGCAGTTACACAACAAACTCCTAACAATGACAATGCAAAATTTTCCAGTATTGTGAGACGATTGCGGGTGTGTTTTATTTATTAAAATACATTTTATTATTTATCTCTTATGTTTATTTATCTCTTATTACATATATAGTTTAAGGGTTTGAAGCATTTAATATTTTAAACCAATAATTTATTTTTAATACTATATTATAAATAATATATTATAATAATTATATCAATTAATATTGCCATATATAAATATATATATATATATATATATATATATATATATATATATATATATATATATATATATATATATACATATATATATATATATATATATATATATATATATATATATATATATATATAATATATATATATATATATATATATATATATATATATATAATATATACATATATATAATATATACATATATATATAATATATACATATATATATATATATATATATATATATATATATATATATATATATATATATATATATATATATATGTATATATATATATATATATATATATATATATATATATATATATATATATATATATATATATATGTTTTATTTATTTAAATACATTTTATTATTTATCTCTTATGTTTATTTATCTCTTATTACATATATAGTTTAAGGGTTTGAAGCATTTAATATTTTAAACCAATAATTTATTTTTAATACTATATTATAAATAATATATTATAATAATTATATCAATTAATATTGCCATATATATATATATATATATATATATATATATATATATATATATATATATATATATACATACATATATATATATATATATATATATATATATATATATATATATATATATATATATATATATATATATATATATATATATATATATATATATATATATATAATATATAATATATATATATATATATATATATATATATATATATATATATATATATATATATATATATATATATATATATATATATATATATAATATATATATATATATATATATATATATATATATATATATATATATATATATATATATATATATATATATATATATATATATATATATATATATATATATATATATATATATATATATATATATATATATATATATATATATATATATATATATATATATATATATATATATAGTATTAGTAATGAAGTATTGGATTTAGTATAAAAATAATTAACTGTAATTGTCAATAAGTATAAAAATAATCATAAAAAACAAGATGGTCAAAAAAATATCTGGGAGTCAAATTTTATGGATCACCTTAAGTTGGTGAATAGTCTATCCTTATTTATCTTATAGAGAAAAACTCTATCGTTTAATAGTGTTGATTAAATGATTTTTAAAATGCATTTTGAAAAATAGCTAAAAGTTAAGACAGTTGAGTAAATTTGAGTCATTATTCCAAACTATGTTCATTATAATTTTTTATATTTTAAAACTATATTTTTTATAATCTTATTAATTCAAAACTATATTATGTGATAATATAATCTTTTAACAAATTTACTTATTCAGGTATTACACAAAAGAAGTAAACAAATTAATTCTCTGCAAATTAAAATAGTTTCAAATAAATATACTATAAAAAGTAATGAAAAAAAATATTCTCATTATAGAAGGAGATTACAAGCCGACCTATTACAGAAGTCACAGTTTACTGTGAAGAGCTTTTGCCACTGCATACAGCAATGTGTGAAGTAGTCACTTCAGAACCTGTTCATTCTCTAGATGTTTCACAAGGAAATGCATCAACTCCTCTTAATAAATCTGATCACTCAGATACTCAGTTAGAACAGGTAAACTAAAGACTTTAGTTGGCTTTGATAGCTTGTAAATATTTAATAACTTTAATTATTTTTTGGTAGGGTCTTATAATAACTGGTTCTCAATATGTTAATCCTTGGGAACTATTAGAAGATTCAAAACAACCTGCTCCATTAGCATTTTCTATGTTTGGAGCTGTTCGTGTTGAAAAGCAAACACTTCATTATATGGATGAAGTTTCTCAGCTGATTCATCATACTCATCAACAAACAAAGCCACTCAGTTATTATGTTAATATCAATATTGAAGAGGAAAATGATATACAAAGTCAACCATCTACACCATGTACCCCTACTGTTGGTAATTATTCAAAAAGTTTATAATTATGTCTTTGTTATATTATTATAAAGAATAATGATAGAAAGAATATCAGAATTATAAAAATTATATATCATACTACATACTTAAGCACATAAAATAAACTGACATAACATAAACCATCAATGATGTTTTATATCAGAATATCATTCAGTGATTAAGGTTCACATTAATTGAATGTTTAGGTTAGGGCAGGTAGTATTTATGTATTAAGTAGAGGTGTACCAGATATGAATTTTATATATCCAATTGAATACCAGGTGTACCAGATATATATATATATATATATATATATATATATATATATATATATATATATATATATATATATATATATATATATATATATATATATATATCCATTTATATGAATATATTGGCTTATACAAAAATATTAATTTTTTCCTGAAGAAAAATAACATCAATTGATGTAAACAGTTTAAAATTACAGAAAAGATCTTTATAGCCCCTTTTGCTTTCTAAAAAACAGATTATGGACCACAGCATTCAAATAAAGTGTGTGTGTGTGTGTGTGTGAGGGAAGGAGGAGGTCGAAAATAAATATTTATTTTGATTCCAAATGTTGTCTAAATGTTGGTATGGCGACAAAAAGTTTTTTGTTACCCCAATTTTGAAAAAACCTTAGTTTGAAAGTTTATTTACAAAAAATATTGTTAAAGAGAAAGAAAATGATTGACAGAAGACTGTAAACTGTAGAGAAAGCATGAAAATGGGAAAAAGTGACAACAGCATATATCCCTAGCCTCACCACAACCATCTAATGCATGAAAAAAACTTTCTGTTATAACAGTAAACAGGTAAGCTGTAAACAAAAGGACCAAAAACTGTATTGAATGTTAGAAAGCTAGGTCAGAGTGTTGAGAGTATCTAAAAATTGGAACCACAGTTGTCATTTTCCAGCTGAGAGTAAAATAAGTATAAGCTAAGCACTTATTAAATAGTTTAGAGAATATTGAATAGAGTCCTGTAAAACACTTTTTTCATAACCACAAACAAAAAATAAGTTTAAAAGAAAAATTACTATAGCATTGAAAGTCAGCGTGATTTGGATGTTTTATAATGAACTAACCTGTTTTGCTAAGTTGACAGGAAATACGTGACCAAATTTAATTGAAGATTTAAAAATTTCTTTGAAGATTCAAAAAGTAGTTTTGCCTTATCCTTTGAAGAGGGATGAGATTAGATCCATGTATTAGATATATTAGACTAACCTTTTTTAATGACACTATTGAAGACTTTGCAATAGTCTCTAGAACCTTCTGAGATAAAATATGAGGTTTAGTAAACATTGATTACCGGAATTTAGTGCCAGACCTTTTTTACATTGGTTTCTTGCAATAATAGAAAGAAGTTTGTTCTAAACAGAGTTGTTCTTATAAAAAAATGATGCACAAGAAGGTGAAAACCATACATAGAATAATGCTTGACTTGAAACTAACTAGATGGAATAAAAGTTTCCAAACCTGCCTGTAATTAGGAATGTATGTAGGTGATGCAGTAATCAGCAAAGATATGAAAGACATCCTAAGGACGGTCACAAAGATATGACATCCTAAGGACAGTCACAAAGATATGACATCCTAAGGACGGTCACAAAGAAAATCATGAAAAGAATCCTAGTAAGCTTTATTTTAGCAGTAAGTAGTGTGATGGTAAGTTGAGCTTGAAGAAGAAGTACTAGATAAAATATTTGAAATGATCATAGCATAGTCCAACTACCTTAAGGAGAAACTGAAGACAAACTAGTGTCAGAGAGACAAGACACAAGTCACTTGTTATCAAAGCTTCACTTTTCAACCAATTGGAATAGCAAAAAAATATGGCAATAAATATTGTAATTACAACATACAAATACTATGCTATTATCTTTGATGATTTCAAAAACAATTTTGAACAAATTATGAAAGAAGTGCAAGCAGCATCGATAGAAATAAATGTTATAGCACAGTTTACTGAGCGGTCTTTTTGTGATACTCAAGTAGAAATAAAGATTGTCTTGATAAATCACCAGAACCTAGTTTACCATTACCAAAACCAAGAATATTGTTATTATACAGACCGTAAAAATAAAGCAAATGAAAAATATGATATACCAATTGAACTAATAAACAAAGAAATTCAAAAAGAAATCGATCCAATTGAATGATGTGATGATATTGATATACATGATCTTGTTTCTGAAATTGGTGATGAGTATAAGATAATTTTAAACAATATTTTTTCATTAATTAATTGATAAAGTATAAGATTCATTGCAAGTACCATTTAAATTGAATAATTCTTTAAATCAAGTTTTCGTTTTCTTTTCAATAATAAAAAGCTAAAAACTATAAATACAAATGAATTCAATACTAGTTGTACAAATCTGGTCAAACACTTTTAAAATGATGCTAAAGTGGTGGAATTAAAAAATTAACTTTCTATTTTAATATATGTTTCAGAAGATAATTATGCTATTATAGAGAGTTTGGAATTCATTTTAAAAAAGAAATGTATATATATATATATATATATATATATATATATATATATATATATATATATATATATATATATATATGTGTGTGTGTAATATCTACTATAGCATATTTGTATGCGCAATTGCTCACTTTTTTTGCTAGTCTAAATTAAGTGGGATTTTTGAGAAAATGATGAGGGAAAACGAAGAATAATGAATGAAAAGATTCCTGACCCATACCAAACCCTCAGTCGATGTAGCAGCACTCCACTGCGAGTAAGGCTATTTGTCAGTCGATGTATGTACTGAAGCCCCCGGCAGCAGGCTATTTCAGTATGACGTGATCATGCTCACCTAACTCAGCAGTGTAGGATATATATATATATATATATATATATATATATATATATATATATATATATATATATATATATATATAAATTAGTAGAAAATTGTCAAACTTTTTTCATTTTACACTTTTTTCATTTTACGTGTTTCATCAATTTAGACTTATTTGAAATGAATGTTCAAATTTATAAAACTTCAGTTTATACCATAAGTTAAATTACAAGAAATCATAAATGTCTTAGCTACTCTAAATTTTCACACATTAAAACTTTTTCAATTTAGTTATAATGATATATATACTTTTGAGTGAAAAAATTATACTTTTGCAAGAGCCATAAATTGTTCCTGTAAACCATTTTAGGGGAGTGTATGAGTGAGAGCTATGTATGAGATATGAGCTATGTATGAGAGCTAAAGCTCTTCCTCTTGCTAAAGTTCATTCATTCATCATCAGGTTCCTCTTGCACACATTCATTGGGTAGTCATTGGGGTAGAGAGGTTGTAGTTATAATAGTTATAGGGGCAAGTTGGATAATTAGAATATCTCAAATGACACATCACATATTTCAAATCACACATCACAGGCCAAAACATCTAAAGGATGAAAGTTAAGAAATTAGAATGTTAACACAATGCGTAACAAAATATTGTGGGAAAGCAGTTGAGTAAGATACATGGACACCTTATTTATTTTTGATTAAAAAAGTAAAAAAAAAAAATTTTTTTTTTTGCTATTTTTCTCTTAAATTCTTATAAATTTTTTCATCTGACATCATTTGAGTGTTGATATTTTAACAGTTATATTAGACTTTCGATTGAAATTACCTGTTTTTTCAATAGCCCTACTGTTCTCTTTAAAATCTAAGTAATGCATCACCTTGTCTAGAAGGGGTTAGTTGAGCAGCTTTAAAAAAAATAAAACTGAACTTTCAAATACAAAGAATCAACTTAATAAATAATAATATAGGATACATTATTTATATTTTTAAAAATATTAATTTTTAAATCGCGCTTCAAATTTCAAGATAATTGTATAAAAAAATATTTTTATATTTTATGATGCTTTCTTACTATTTAATTATTCCTCTTCTCTATTACTTACGTCATTAAAGTGTATAAAATAAAAAGTTTATAAATTATACACATGTTTACTGATAGTAATAGTTTCATTGATGATTCACCCATTTTTTGTACCATCCATATTCATTCATTTATTGATTGCTTAACTTAGCCTGCACAATTTTATAACTTACCATGCTGACGCTGGTTGAGCAGCTCTGCAAACATTAGGCAATATTTAAAAAAAAAATCAAATAATATACTTTTTTCATAAAAACTTTTTAGCATGTTAAACTATATCTTTCAAATTGTCAAAAAATTATGTAAATTCGGCTCAGCGTTCATTAGATCTGTTAGATTTAGTAAAAATTTCCCAACTAGCCTCGCTCTACCCTACTTACAAATATATTTATGCACTTAATCTAGCATAAGTTGTCACCAATAACATCACGTTAAAAAAGCTATCTATGAGGACTTTAATGAATACTGAGAGTTTAGGCAGGTAAAATCTAGTAAATGATAAACATTTATTAATGCAAAATAATTTTTTTTTTTTATTCTTTCTTTTTAGTAAAGTACTCTGCTTTAAAGTTTCAGAACTTAAAGTGTGAAAACTTTTATACTTATATTTTTTAATTTATTTTTTAACTTATTAGGACACTGCACACCTAAGGCCAATTATACATATATTTTTTAAGTTAAAATAAGTTTGGATTAATGTATATTAAGTTAAGTAAATGACTGGGGTTCTGTCCCCAACCCCATTCATAGCTAAATATTGAACTTGGCGTTGTGCTAAATTTCCCTATCTATCTGACAGGGAAATGGTGATTTAAAAATTATTCAGTTAAAAGTAAAGTATGAAAACAACGAGTAAACAATGAAAATAAACAATCATTAAGTTAAACAAACTTATATGCAAGAAGTATAAATTTGAAAAGGTTTAACTTTTGGCCCACTCTCTCTCTCTTTCTCTCTCTTTCTCTCTCTTTCTCTCTCTCTCTCTCTCTCTCTCTCTATATATATATATATATATATATATATATATATATATATATATATATATATTCTTTTTTTGTTCATTTTCTCAAATGTATATATGTTATTTGTATGTTTGGTGTGGATATCTTTTGTTGCATTCAAATTAATCGTTTTTTTTTGTTTGATATAGGTCCATTGACACCTTTAAACCAATCAGGATTATCACATTTACTTGCACCAATAGAATCTTCAGATGAATTTATTAAGCAAATGGTATTTTTAATATTTGGTTAAATAATAAATTAATGGTAATTTTAATTAAATATTAGCTTTGGTATTGACCAAATTAATATTTTGCAATAATATTTATTATTTTCTTTTTAAACAAGTTTTATTGCATATATATATATACATATACAACCCTTGGAATTAGGGTCAGCATTAGGCAATGCTGACCGAACTGCCAACCTTAAAGTGTTTGAAGTTTTTTGCTGACCTCCTTTCTATGTTTTATCGTAAGACCTTTTTTTTTTGCCAATCTAATGCTAACCTCTAAAAGATTGAGATCAGCAATTATTGCAGACCTCATTTGTCTTAATTAAATAAAGGGTTGCATATATATCCATATTTTAAATAAAAACAGCTTAGCACATTTGCTTGTGATTTTGATGTCATAAAATTATCTTTATTTTTTTATTTTTATTTACAGACATTTTTTTTTTTTATTTACAGACTTTTTTTTAACTAATAAAATAAACTACAGCAAAACAAGTTGAATTTTGTAAATGTTTTGTAAAAAAATGTGAAATTTCTTTTTTCAGTTTTTCTCTCTTACCATTTTGTTTACTACTCTTTCTATCCTATCATTTTCTTTCCTCTACATTTTTTTATCCCTCCTTCCTTTGCCATGTGTACCTTTTACTTTCCCACCATTACCACTTGTATCTTTACTTCTTATAACATAACTTCTTTCTTTACCTCATTTTCATTTACTTCTCTTACTATTACTTACCAACCTCGTTATCATATTCTTTCCTTCTGTAACTTATTTTATTTTTGCTTCTCTTTTTTTTTAACTTTTTTTCTTAAACAAGTCTGTGAGGTCTTATGTAGCAGCAGTAATTTGAAGCAATTACTGTTTATTTTTGATTAGTCAATATTTGTCGGTAGCATGTTTAAAGCAATCAAGCTGATACATTCGCCTATATGACTCAACTTTTTATTCTAAATATAATAATATATGTAAATAAATGTTATTATTAATTGAATAATTTTTTTAATGATTGTTGATTTAGGATTTAAAAAGAGGGTTTTCTCGAACACAGTTGCATACTCCTAATCTGCCAGAAGTAAGAAATAAGAAGTTAAAACTTTTAACTCATCACCAGTTAGGTGGTCATCAAGATGTTCAGCAGCTATTCCAACCAATGCCCCACAAACAGCAGCATGCTGGTTTGCCTCAAGAACTACCTCATAACGTTAGGTAACATTTTTTTAAAATAATGCAATTTATTTACTTTCTAATAATTTTTCCATCTTTAATTCAATTTATCTTTTTTAGGGGTATTTATCTGGGTGTTGTTTCTTTCAATTATGAAAACAGTTGAAGAAAACAACAAAACTTTTTTTTAGCCATATTGATTTAGTTTATTTTGTTAGAGCATAAATATTTTAGTTTTTATTTGATTAAATTTGTTTACTTTGGTTTTGTATTGAAATTATTTTATAGAATAGGCCATAATATTCATGGCAATTTGTCACATGATAACGCTAAAACAGCTCTTCAGAACATGATTGCTCGAAAAACTTCAGCTCCAGCTACTGCCTCGAATCAACTGCAACAACTTTCTAGACAACAACAACAACTTGATGTATTTGGCCAACAGCAGCAAATTGCTTCAAATGTAAGTGTATGGAAATGGCTTTTTGTTTTATAAAATTATATTTTGATTGTTTACTTAGTTTTTAATAACAACATATTATTACACGCATACTATTACCATAGCAAAATATTTTTTTGTTTCTTTACACTTAATAGTTATGAATTCGTTATTATTTTGCCGAAAAATTCTTTTATAACAAAATTACAATGGAAAGGACCCTTTGTTACTCATATTAAACTAGCTGGTATGACCCGTACCATTCGAGTCGTTCCAAGTCTAATCCATACCCAACAATTGCTAAACTTAAAAAATTGAGTAAATGTTTTTAATAATATTAAAAACATTTCCTGTCATGATATTATCATGACTGTTGTGGTCATTAAAATGTTTTGGTTCGCTAAAAAGTACACAGTTTGCATTTTACTGACTACCTAGAATTCTTGATTTCTAATTTACTGTTCTTTAGAACTAATTAGTATTTTTACTTATTACATTATTACTTATTTACTTTAATATTTTCTACATAATAAAAGTATCTTTAACATTTAACACAGTTGCGTGAAACTTAGGCTATAATATTTTAACTCTTTCGTAAGGATTTATTTAAAAAGCAAATTTGGACATTGAAAAATGGACCTAGTTATTTCAAAGACCTAGTTATTTCAAATAAATTAGCTTTATCTTTTTGATATATTATATAAAAGCCTTCCCAGTGGGCACAGACGTAAAAAAGACGTTTAAAACGTCTTGTACACGTTTTTTTTAGGTTTCTGTAAAAAAAACTCTTAAATTATTTATATAATTATAAAAAATTTATATAATTTTTGAAATATATTAACAATTATACTGTTTTAATTGCGGAATTAGCTGTGGTGACCCGTACGATACGGGTTGTAGCAACTCTGTTCCACATCTGGCTATTTCTAAACTTGTTCGTAGTTAGGTCTCTATACCTTAACTAAACAGCAAAAAATTAGTCGAATTAAAGTTTTTTGTTAACAATTGACTTAATATATTTTAGAAACTGTACTTATTTACTTGATGTACTCCAATATTTTATAAATAAAAAGATCTTTAAGATAATAGAGACAGTTGCATAACATTTCTTCAGGTGTTTTTGAAAACTTAAACTATAATCAAGATTTTACCCTCTCATCAAGATTTATTTAAAAAACAAATTTGGACATTAGAAAACGGGCCTAAAAGACTTGTTATTTTAAATAAGTTAGCTTTATCTGTTTGATATTTTTTATAAAAATGTTGCTGTAAAAAACAAAACTGTTAACAAATTCATTCAATTAAGCTGTTTTTACATCCGAAGTTATTAAACATGTTGTTTGTGCTAATGGATACTTAATTCAAATGGAAATTTCGAGTACAAAATACGATTTTAAGTATAAATGGTTTCTATTCATATATATAAAAAGCAACAAAAATATAAAAAACAATGCAAAAATGATCAATATATCCATTTGAAACAATAAATCCAAAAATAAAAAAATATAGATATTTACTTAAAAAACAAAAAACATATTTTTCTTGAGATAAAATAAAAATATAAACTTAAAAAAAAATTACAAAAAAAATATTATATTTATTAAAAATACTTAAAAAACAATTTAAATTAAAACATTGTTTCATTATGGCTGATTTGATTAAGCCATAATCAAATCAGCCATAAGAAAAGGAACTCGACCTAAAAAAATGGAACAAAGTTATTTTAAACATAATACACATTAATTACAAATTAACGTGTCATGCAATCAATTAATTTTTTTGAAAACTCAAAAATGCCAATAAGTGGATAGGAAACTTACTTTTTATTTTTCTATAACCCTGACAGATCAACATGAACATGAGCTAAGCCTATTAACATAAAACATCACAACAATTAATTAAAAAGCAGAACATGTTAAAGTAAACTCTAGATAACCCACACCTTTAAAGGACAAAGAAATTAGTTTAGTTTAAAGAAAATTAGAGTTATTGGGAGTATAATATATAAAAAAAAGCTTAAGTGGAATTTCAAAATTAGTTTATAGTGTTGAGGTTTGAGTTATCGTGAGTTTATTGAACATGTTTAAACTACTAACTGCACACACTTATAAAAACATACATAAACATTTAAAAAACATAGATCTTTTACTTTATATAACACGTATATATTAACATATAGGAAATAACACATTATAAGAAATTACCACATCATGAGACATATTAATACTTATCGAAAACCATTACAAACATCACATTTTAAAAATGAAATATTATTTGTGTAATATACATTCAATGACATACCTTGTAGTGCATGTTAATCAAATTTAAACAATAAATTATAAAATGTCTTGGTTCTGAAACATACTACATAGAATTTGGTTGTGTGAAAACCAAGTCCCTTTGAGATTAGCATTAACTTTATCAAATGTTTGACTGTAACTTTTATTTATTTTCTTATTATGAGTGTTGTTAATAAAAGTGTCTTTATTTAAATGATTTAATTAATTTGATGGCATTAAAATTAATGGGAAAAATTAAAAAACAACATAAAAAATATGTTAAAAAAATATATTTAAAAAAAAAAGTTACAAAATAAAAATAAAAAACTGTGGCACAACAGTTGTAAATCTAAAATGTGAAGAAATTATTTACAACTGTTGCGCCACGCCTTCTCCCAGCACCCCTCATTCCCTGGTGTTGTATGGGATGCCATCCCTCCATCTAAAGGAAGGATGGTCTTCCCCAAACCTGCACTAGAGATAAAATGCCCTCTGGGATAGAGGTCCAAGATGCTGGGAGCGATTTTTCTTCAAAATCTTGCCATGATTTCGAGTCTGAAAAAAAAAATCTACCAAGGTGATACTTACAAAAACTATAAAAAAACAAAAGTAATAAATATATTAAAGTACAAGTGAGCACAACAACTTATTTATTATACTCACTTGTACTTGACTTATTACATTAACTAATTAAACTGGAAAATACATCTGTAGCTATATTGAAAATGAAAGGTACAATAAAGTGAAATAGCTTAATGGCAAGTACAAACTTACTGTTTGAATTTAAAGACACAGCAACTGAAATGAAATAGAAAAATTAAAAATAAAATACAATTAACCAAGTAATAAGTGAATAGAACAACTTACTTGTACCAGAGGAAGCAGCAGCTAGATATAAATAAAATAAAATTAAGATTGCAATAAAACTAATCAAATAATGTAATCAGTCAGTCAAGTATAAGTGAGTACATCAACTTATTTGTAACAGAAGAAGAAACAGCTAGATATAAATATAAGAAAATTAAAAATGCAATAAAAACAGTCAATCAATGTAATAAGTCAAAATAATTCAAGTGAGACAACAACTTACTTGTAACAGAAGAAGAAACAGCAGCTAGATTTATCTCAGCTCGCCTGGGCTCATCTCTTTCATTCCGGCGGCAGTTTATCTTAGCTCGCCTGGGCTCATCTCTTTCGATGGCAGTTTATCTCAGCTTGTCTAGCCTGTCTTCTTTCATTTTGACGAAGTCTAATAATTTCATTTCTTAAATTATATATCTTTTAAACAAATTTACTAAAAAAGTAACAGTATAAAAATTATTTAATGAAGTATAAATTGGTTCAATAAAAGTTCCTTAAAATTATAAATATTAAAAAAAATTGTAGATATTAAAAAACTATATATCTTTCAACATTTCTTATAAACACATTCTTTCAACAATTTTTTTTAACACTTTTTATGGCTACACTAACTACAAACAGATTTAATTTATGTATTTCATTATAACAGTACACCACTTAACTGGCGTGGACAACAATCTTGCTCCTAACAAACCAAGTCACATTATAGCAAAGTACACCACTTGGCTAGCAAGGTCAACACTCTTGCTGTAAATTAAGCCTAGTCAAAACAATTTGAAAAGATATTTACAAACACATAAATGATATTTACACACTTACAAAATATAAACCCATATAACGTTAACACATAAACATAAATAACACATACATATAAATAAATAAAATAATGAAAATATATAAATCAAGAAAAATATATAATTTAGAAACTTTACAAATACAATCTTATTTTTGTTTAATGACATACCTCGTATAATAAATGTTTAACAACTTGGAAAAACAAACGATCTGGTTTTTTATATAAAAGCAAACAGATTTTTTTTAACTACTTTAAAGGTAAGGTATTTAACGTTGTTCTTTCTTGTTCTTTAACATGTAACTGTGTGAGATGCAAGAGTTTAGGAGAAACCTGGTAGTCAGGTTTCCCTGAACTCTGTGGTAGCTCTCAGAGAGGCTGATTCCATCAACAGCCGAAAAATATCAGAGTACTAACAGTGCCATGTTGCGCATGGATGGTGTCCCTGTTTGTACTTTTGGTGTGCATTGCAGAGGCCACATTTGGAGCCCTTTGTTACGGCTTAGGGTTTATTAATAGTAATGAGGCTATTGCTTAGTTGTTAAATAGTGTACTGAGTACTATCTATACTTGAGTCAAGTTCTTTATAAATTTAAAATGACTAAAGTACCTAAAACTAAAAAACACAAAAAACCATCGTCATCACCAAGTTCTCTAAACTTATCATTTACTAATATTCGTGGTCTTCGAAGTAACTTTTCTTCTGTTGAGTCTTATCTCTTGCAAAGTTCAACAGACCTACTTGCTCTTTGTGAGACTAATTTGAGTTCGGCTGTCCCATCTTGTGATCTTAGTGTTGATGGTTATCTTCCTTTAATTCGTAAAGACTCCAATAATCACATGCTTGGCCTGGGCATCTACATTCGTAAGAACTCACCCATTTGTCGTGAAACTAGGTTTGAATCTACTGACTATTCATTTATGTGCTTTCGTTTAGCACAACTTCACTCTATCGCCTTTCTCTTTGTTCTATATCGCTCTCCTTCATCCCAAGATTGCACTATTCTTGATGTTATTTCTGATCAAATTGACCGAGCCCTCTCTCTTTATCCATCGGCCAATAACGTCGTTGTTGGTGACTTTAATGCCCA